CCCAAAATCTACAAAATAACTACCAGAATTAAAAAGTTAATATAACAAGATTGCAAGATGAGTTTAATAAATTGTATTCTTATATAGTAGCAGCAAACAAATGAGAAACAAAAATTTAAAAACAATCCCATTCGCAGTCATGTCCCAAAAAACCCTCCCATAAAATACTTAGAAATAACTCTAACAAAAAATGTCCAAAATCTCTACAGTGAAAGATACAAGATATTATTGAGAGAATTAAAGAAAAATCTAAATAAAAGGATTGCAGAATTGGATAGTTAAGATATCATTCTCTACAAATTGATCTACAAATCCTTATCAAAATTCCAGCAGGCTTTTTTTTTTTTTTTTTTAAGAAACTGAGAAGTTGATTCTCAAATTCACTTTGAAATAAAAGAACCTAGAAAACCAACAGGAATTTTTTAAACAGAAATACAAAGTTAAAGAACTTACCCTCTCTCATTTTAAGACAATGAATCTATAATAAGAGAGTACACAGTATTTGCGAAAGATAGACATACCGATCAATGGAACAAAACAGACACCCCAGAAATAGACACACACATATATGATCAGTTGATTTTAGATAAACATTACAAAACAGTTAAATGGGGAAAGACTGTTCAACAAATGATGCTAAATCAACTGTATATTCATACAGAAAAAAATTACCATACTTTACTCATACAAAAGACTAATGTGACATGGGTCAGAGATCTAAATGGAAAGCCCTGAACAATAAAACTTCTAGAATAAAACACAGGAGGAAATTTATGTAACTTTGGGTTAGGCAAAGATCTCTTATAAAAAACACAAAGAGCCCGGCCAGGTGTGGCTCAGCGGTTGAGCGTCGACCTAGGATCCAGGCGATCGGGGTTCGATTCCCGGTCAGGGCACATGCCCAGGTTGTGGGCTCGATCAATGACTCATCATTGATGTTTCTGCCTCTCTCTCTCCCTCTCCTGTCCTCTCTCTGAAATCAATAAAGATATATTTTTAAAAAAACAAAAAAAAAAACACAAAGAGCCCTAACCATAAAATAATTCTTTTATCCTCCCCTGAGGATATGTTAGCTGATTTGAGAGAGGAAGGAGAGAAAGAAGCGTCCATCGGCTGCCTCCCATTCACACCCCAACCGAACCCACAGCCTTTTTGTGAAGGGAACTTTATAGTAGATAAACCTGAAAGACACTACATTAACATAGTGACCACATTAATATAAGTGGTGATTTGGCATGGTGATTTCATAATAGGAAAGAATGAGAAACTGTCACAGATCCGAGAAGCCTAGGACGACATGATGACCAAATGCAATGTGGTATCCTGGACTGGATGGTGGAACAAAACAAGGACATTAAACTTAAAGCTTTGTCTAATCAGGAAACAACATCAGGTAAGTCCCAATCACGGGATATTCTACAAAATGCCTGACTAGTAATCCTCAAAACTGTCAAAGTCATCAAAAACAATGAAAAGCCTGAGAAAATTTTTACTACCATGAAGAGTCTAAGGAAGGGTGACTACTAAATGTAGTGTGGTTTCCTGAATGGGGTCCTGGAGAGAAAAGGGACATTAGGTAAAAATTAAGAAAGTCTGAATAAAGGATGAACTTAGTTAATAACAATTTCTCAATACAGCTTCATTAACTATGAAAACTGCTCCACGGAAGATGTTAATAACAGAGAAACTGGGTGGGTGTGAGGTACACGGGCTAATTCTCTGTACTATCTTTGTAATAATTCTATAAATCTAAAACCGTTGCAAAATAAAAAATTATTTATATTTTTAAAAAGACATTAGTGTAAACACTGGGAAAACCTGAAAAAAGTCCACAGTTAAGCAATGTATCGATGTTAGTTTCTTGGTATGATAATGTACCACGTCAAATATACCGTATCAAATGTAACGTGGTTATATGAGGTTAACATCAGGGGAAACCGAATGAAAGGTATATGGAAACTAAACTTTCTTGGCAAGTTTTCTGTAAATCTAAATAAAGAGGTGTTTTTTTTAATGGGCAAAAGTATTTTTTAATATTAAATAAAAATATTGAGACATGAATGACCAAAAAAGATATGAAAAATGTTCATCATAGCAATGTAATTATAAACAAAACTGAGAAAACACTACACACCCATTTAAAATTAAAATGACTGACCTTGTAAATGAAATGCACAGATCCTTGAAAGACATAAACTACCAAAGATCATTTAAAGTAGTAGACAACTTCAATAACCCTACAAGTATTAAAGAAATGAATTCCTAGTTCAAAACCCATAAAGTAAATTCCAGACCCACATGGCTTCACTGGAAAATTTTATACCAAACATTTAATAATAACTCCAATTCTACACATATTCTTTCAGAAAACAGAGGAGGGAATCCTTCCCAACTACTAGATATGGCCAACATTATCCTGAAAACAAAAGCAAACTAAGAGATTACAAGAAAACAAAACTATAGACCAATATTCCTCATGAATATACTAGATGCAAAAGTCCTTTTGAATTTTTTAGCAAATTAAATCTAGTAATAGCCATAAAAAGAATAATTCATCATTAACAAGAGGGGTCTTCCCCAGGAATGTGAACTTGGATTAACATTCAAAGATCAAAGATTTTTTTAAAAAACATATATCTCAACAGATACAGGAAAGGCATATGACAAAATCCAAAACATATAAGCAAAAATTCAAGATGACAACAGCAGAAATTTCATAAGAAACATAATTAAATGCAAAAAAAATTATGTTGGATATTGATGTAATGTGAGAAGATGTCAAATCTTTGAAAGTCATCAAGTATGAACCCAATTTCTTATAATAGAGTTAATTACATTTGATCTTGTAAATAATCTGCTTTCTTTCAGCATCATATAAGCCAACTGACTGTATTTTTAATTATGCTAAAATTAAAATTAATTCTTAAACACTGAAAATGTTTGGAGTGAAGTATGATTACACAGGGCCAATTTGGAAAGGGAATGAAAAAAAAAAAAAGATAATACTAAAGGTTTCTAATTTGCTACAGGTAAATCTTAAAAGCAGATCATCAACAACTACATGAAATGATTCCCTGAAAGGAGGAGGCAAGTACACCCAAATTTCTGTCATCACTTGTCAAATGATATGGGAAAGTTGCTTCCTTTCTTCGGGACTCATTTTTCCTGTCCTTTTATAAGAGGAGGTTACACTAGTTCATTCTTAAAGTTGACAAATATTTATTGAGCACCTACTATGTATCAAACACCTTTCTAGACACTGGAGAATACAGCAGTGGGGGAGGGAACAGAAAAACTCCTTCCCCGACAGTTTACAGACAAACAAAATACACATGTAAGATATATAGCATGTTTAAGGATAATATATGCAGACAAAGCAGGGAAGGGGGCAGAAAGTACTGAGAGAGGTGTGGTTTAAGTGGGGTTATAAGGGGACTAGATGGTTTCTAGGTTCAACTTCAGTTCAAAAATCCAATGGCTTCCTTCTAGGTTGATTAGGCCGTGTAAAAACACACAGTGAACCTCTGAACCTGACCTCTTTACACTCATATATTCTATCACCGTGCTCTGTATGTCACCACTTATATTTAGAGAAATAGGATTAAACATACATTTCTCCTTACTGAGACAAAGCATATGCGGTTATTTAATGAAATAAGTAAGTTCCCAGTCTTGCCTTGGGAGAGGAAAATAAGAAAAATAAAACCTAGCAATTTCTCCCCAGACAAAGGTTCTAAAAATGTAGCATTTCTGCACAGTATGGGCAGGATTAAAAGTGGTTGCTTCTCCTCCTCCAATATATTTGTGGTCTGGAAGCTGGTCCTTTATTGGGCCTAAGTTACAACATAAGTTATAACAAGAGGTGATTTAACAGCCTCTCTAAAATAAAAGATTTTCCATAGGCAAGAAAAGTCATATAAATAATAAGTATTACTACTATAGTTACTGCAGCTACCATATTTTGTATGTCTGCTATGTGCCAGGTACAGCCCTAGACATTTTCTATATTAGGCTGAACTATATGAAACTGTCATTTATAGATCAAAATCAGCAAATTTATATAATTTAAAGAAGTTTTCATCCATTAATTTCAAATTCCATGAGAGAGAAGTCTGTGCAGGTTAATTGTGTTGCTGCATTTCTATAGCTCATCTATTATATTATTATCTTAGGCAAAACTTCAAGGTAACATGAAATTTCTGTTTGGGTGATATAAGGCCTTCTGCCAAGTGTGATAGTGTGCAAACAAATAACTTAAAAATTTTAATTAGGACTTCATTTAGGATTTAAATGTTATTTTAAGTATCATAATTCAGAGCACTAATTTCATCAAAAGCTACCCATAGCCATGTGGCTTCATTTTGAGAAAAGCTCAATTTATTAGTTATAACCACTATTCCACTTACAAAGACAGAATCTTCATTCCAAAAGTATTTTTTTTTCCACTACAAAGAACAACCAAAAATTATACTAATATCTTAAATCTGTCTATTTGGAATGGAATTTCTATTTCTTTGGAAATGCCTCATTAAAAGGATCTTTCGCAAAAGAGAGCACTGTCTATAAACCAGCTTATTAAATTCAATCCAAATAATTTTAAATTCATCTTTTAATAGTAGGTAAGTCCCTAAAGTTTTTTGGTTTTCTTCTGGCAGCTATTTTTCATTCACTATACAGTTCATGTCTAGAGTTCACATTTATAAGACATTAATAAAATAGCTTTTAATTATCTTCTAAGTAATTCTATGTAATCTAAAGTTTCATCTAGCAAAAAAAAAAGGCAGGCACTTTGTATGTTACATTATTAGCAGATGTGGAAGTTTATTTCCAACATTTAAATGCCAATAGAAGTCTCAGTGAAACATTAAGACAAAAAAGAAAGAAACAAAAACTACATGAAGTTTTTTGGGGAGGGAGGGGGAAGAAATTAATATAAGAAGAATATGATGATTATATGTAGAAATCAAGGAGTTTAAACAGATAAATATATAAAAACCTACCAGCTCATTGCTTGTAGATGTGAGTCTTAGTTTTTCTTCAATTTCTTTTCCAATTTTCTGAACAGTTACCTGAGTCTGTTTAATTGCACACTGGGCTCTATGAAGCCTAGAAATAAAAGTTGTAGAAAAATTTAAGTGAGTTAACTATAAACTCTCAATACTGAGCCACAGATATAAGTGGAACCAAATGAGGACAAATCTTCCAGGATAAACAGAATTAATAATGAGCCCAAACTGATTGTTTCACAATTTTCTAGTGTATTTACAATGAAACACAATATGCTCTAAAAGCACCCTTTCTATACCCACCTGACTGCCTCTGACACACTGAAAGCTAAAATGAAGAAGTCACAGGAATCTGGAAGACATTGGAAAATTATCTGGTTGAATCCTATCATTTTACAGATGTAGAAACCGAGGCCCAAGAGAAATTAAGTGGATTGCTCAAGGAGAATATCACTGCTATCAAGGGCGAATATTACTTATGGGTATCCAAAATAAATTAATAATCTCAGTTAAGAAGACAGATTTAAAGTACAGCCACATTCAAACAAGCAACATTAAAAAATACTGAGCTATTTTCTTTTTTTGGTTTAATTATAGGTTTGGGTTTTTCTTGGTCTCTCTATCTTCCAATAGTCTGTGTGTGTATGTATTTCCTATACTTTTACATATTAAAAATGGTCAAACTGTTTTCAATTGTAGATGACATGATTTTTACGTAGAAAATAATTAGAAATCTATAAAACAATTACTAAAACTAAAAGTCAGTGGATAAAGGGTTAATATACAAAACTTCAGTTATATTTCTATGTATGGGTCAGTAGTTTTGCAATCACAACTACAATCCCAAAAGGCTCTGAGTTTTTTTAGATGGAAATAAAGAAGTTGATACAATAATTTATACAGAAAAACAAAGAATCTAGAAGAGATAAGCCAATCTTGAAATCTGCCAGACTTCAAGGCTTTCTTTTTAATAAAGCTCCATAGTCAAAACAATATACTGGCATAAAGATTTTAAAAATACATCAATGGAACAGAATAAAGAATATACAAATAGACCTACACAAATATGGTCAATAGATTTTGGGCAAAGGAACCCAGACAAATTAATGAAGAAAGTATTTAAAATAAATGGTGCTGGAACATTGGATAAACATAGGAAAAAATTAACTTCACTCCCTACCTCACGGCACACACAAATAATTAATTCAAGAGGATCACAGTATACATAAAAGCTAAAAATCACAAAACTTCTAGAAGAATACATAGGAAAATCTCTTACAACCTTAGGATAGACAGAGATTTCTTAGAGAAGACATGAAACGCACTAACCATAAACTTTTAAATGGATAAACTGGACTTTACCAAAATAAAATAAAAAAATATCTGTTCATCTAAAGATGCCATTAAGAAAATGTAAAAGCAGTCCACAGAGTGGGGAAAAATATTTGCAAAACATCAATCTGACAAAGAGCTGTGTCTGGAGTATTTAAAGAACTCTTATAAACCAGTAATAAAAAAACAACCCAATAAAAAATGGGCAAAAGAATGAAATACTTTACAAAAGAAAATATAAGAATGGCCAATAAGCATAGGAAAAGGTGCTCCACATCTCAGTCATCATAGAAATGCAAATTAAAATCATAATGAAATACCATTTCACACCTGTTAGAATAGCTAAAATTAAAATGACAACATCTAATGGGAGGAAGGATATGGAGCAACTGGAACTTGTATGCTGTACTATCATTTTGGAAAACTGTTCCTTATAAAATTAAACATACCTCTAACCTATGACCCAGCATTTCTACTCTTAAGTATTTACTCAAGAAATATAAAAACATATGTCCACAAGAAGGATCGTAAAAGAATGTTCATAGGAAACAACCCAAATGTCTATGAAACAGGAAAATTAATAAACAAATTATGATATACAATGAAATTCTACTCAGCAATAAAAGAACACACCACTGATATAACAATATAAATGAATCTCAGAAACATTATGTTGAGTGAAAAGAACCAGAAACAAAAAAGTACATACTGCATGATTCCATTTATACACAGTTCAAGAACAGGTAAAAGCAATCTATGGTGACAGAAATCAAGAGTCTCTAGTTGCCCGTGTGGGGTGGGACTGACTGGTAGAGAGCAGGGAGAGCAAAGGAACCATCTGAGGTGAGGGGAACGTTCTGTATCTTGATTGAGGCAAGGGGTATATGGCTATACATGGAATCGAAACTTAAGATCTACTCATTTCACTGTATGTAAATTTTACTTCAGTTTTTAAAAATTGGTCAACAATCCTAACCTAAAAGTTATCCTATATATGAGGAGGTTAATTTTATTAGGGATTTGATGGCATCTATCTGCCAATATCATCATCATCATCATCATCATTATTATTACAACACTACGCACTAAAAATATTCATGACATATTTTGCCCTTTTGGAAGTTGTCTGACAGTTATTAGGATTTCTTAGGTCACCAGAAAGGGAGCAACTCTTAACTATATCTAGTTTGCTCATGAGATGAGTTATTCAGCAACTTCCTTAGAGCTCTAAGAAATCCAATAGAATCCTCTGGCCTCTTGCTCTGGGTGTGTATATGAAGGCTCTTGATGCAATCCTCTCTTACAAAGGTGGCTCTAAAGAAACGGAAAAGCAAGGAAAGGCCCTTTGTGATGTGCTCCTGGCATACTCCAGCCTCTTTTCCTGATAGTCTCACCTTGCACACTACACTCCAGCAATACTGAAGTGCTGACAGTTCTCCAAACATACCATGCCATTTCTTGCTTCTGTACCTTTGAGTGAGCTGTTCTATCTCCCTACATGTTTTCCCTCTGTCTTTTAACAGATAAGTACACTCCTAAATCCATTAGGAGGTAGCTCAAGCATAGCCTCTTCTTCAAAGGCCTTCACAGACTATCCCAGACAGGTAGAGGCACTCCTTCCTCTGGAATTTTGCGGCATCAGGTATACAATACACTAACAGAGATTACAGAACCACATTTAACAGCAATTACTTATTTCCTTGTCTATTTCCTTACTAGATTTTTCTGAAGGAGAAAAAAATCTCTTTTCATGTACATTCCCAGTGCTTAGCACAGAATATGGCACAAAGGAGGCACTCAAATGGATTTCCTGACTGAATTTTGTCTAATGCCTGAATATAAAAGCAGTCCCAAGATTTCATTATTTTTTAGTGATCAGTGGGAGACTGAAAGATTAATGCGTTAGTTTTCTATATTTACAGTCCAAAATAATATATTCAAATCAAAGACCACACAAATTAAAGACCATTCATTCAGGTAGGGAAACAAACTATTTTTACGAAAAACATTATTATAATTCTAATAACGATAGGCACTATCAACCTAGAACAGAAATCAACAAAATAGCCTGTTATTTTAAAAGAGGGAAAATGCTGCCTAAAACTCACTGGTACTATGCAAACAACCTTGTCAAATGGTAAAGACTTTAAAAATAAAAATGATTCATGACCATAATTAATGTATGACTTCAACTATTTGGCTCTCACTGCCCCAGACGCTTTCTGATCTTACCTTAGGGGCTTAAAACACACAGACAGAGTCACATTTCCTCCAATCTTCAGTGTTATCCAAATAGACTTTCAGAGCCCCTGCTACATCAAGACAGAGTTAATAACGCCCCCCTTTCAAACCCAACAGGAGAATAAAAGTTTGAAGTGCTTAGGCTTGTAAGCATAACATGGGACATCCCGAATCCCCTGGGGCTGAGGAGGTGAAAACTGACAAGAAAAGAAACAACTGCTTTACCTCCAAACCAGCTAGCTAGTTTCAGAGGAATGTTTCTTAATTATGCAAACTATGAAATGATACTGTAAAGAAAGAAATATATGTCATCTAGTCATCTGGGTGACTGGTCAATATCAACACTAACACTCCCAAGCTGAAATAAAATTCATGATCACTGGTGTGGGGAGGAGGGTTAGGCAACTATTTGATAGGTATTCTGATTACAGCAAATAGATGCACCCCTATTATTTAATATGACTTGAGATAACAGTAAAATTAAAACTAGACTAAAAATAATTTAGCTTTGTGGTTAAATATTGCTATGAATGTAAAGATACATTGAATAAAAGGTATTATATCAAATAAACATTAATAAACATTGAGACAATACCAATGAGATATTAACAATGATCTCAGTAAAAGAGAAGTTACAAGACAGTTTTTTGTCTACTTGGTGTTGATCATAGCACATCTGAAATGCTGCATTCAGTTTTAAGATGAAGAGTAACAAATAGCCCCTACAAGGGCAGTGAAGTATAGTTTTGTGTGGATTACAAGGAGAGATAAAAAGGAAGAGGAAAATATAGGAGCCTATTAAGAAAAATAGAGACCTTATCATTAATGACTGTATTCCATATGAAGAAGCCTAGATTTTTATTCTGAAGGTATTCAATAACCATTAAAAAGATTTAAGCTGGGATCAGAGAAAGACAAATACCATATGATCTCACTTATATGTAGAATCTAATGAACAAAATAAACCTGATGAGCAAAACAGAAACAGAGTCATGAATACATGGTGCAAACTGACAGATGTCGGGGTGTGTGGGGGGTGGGGGGGTGGCGTGTGAAGAGAATAGCCAAAGAGCATATATGCATACCCCATGGATACAGACAACAATGCAGTTAAGGCCAGAGGGAGGAGAGGGCAGGGTCTGGGTGGAGGGGGGAAACGGAGGACATCTGTAATAATGTCAACAATAAAAATAAATAAATAAAAAGTTTTAAGCTGGGAAAGTTTTAATTACATTTGCACTTTAGGAAGATCTTTCTTCCTGTAACAAGGTGAATGGGACACTGGGAAACAAGACTAAACAGAAAGGCCACTGTGAGGTTATTGCAACATCTTAACAAAAATTAGGTATTGTCCTAAATTAAATTAGTAACAGGAGGGATGGTGTAGATGTGAAAAGTGAAAGAGAACAAGAGATAAAGACTGATGCCTAAAAATAAACTACCAACATCAAAAATGCAAGAGGAAACATCACTGCAGATCCTATAGACATTTAAAGGGATTAAGGGGAAATTATGAACAATAGGCCA